CCACTAACTTTACTTCTTGTATTTGCATATCAGTTAAAATTTGATCAAAAAAAATATTCCAAAGGAGTGGTCCCAAAACAGAGCCCTGAGGGACACCTTTTGTCATCGGGAAACTGGCATTATTTCAAACAACATACCTCTCACTAAGGTAGTCTTTAATACAGTTAATAAACTGTATAGATATTTTTTTTCTTCCATATATCTAACTATCTGCTCCCATAAAGCAGAGCCAAACGCATTTTTAACATCAAATGTTATTAAGCAACATAATTTCTTCAATTGCATGCACTGTCGATTTTCCTTTTTTAAAACCATATTAAGGAATGTTACGTAAGGTTAGTTCTGTTTACAAACATTAATTATAGCGTGAAGTTTTCTTTAGTAATTAGTAATGCCAATTATAGTGTGAAGTTTTCTTTTGAAATGCCAATTACACCGTGAAGGAATGTTAAGTAAGGTTAGTTTTGTTTACAAACATTAATTATAGCGTGAAGTTTTCTTTAGTAATTAGTAATGCCAATCATAGCGTGAAGTTTTCTTTTGAAATGCCAATTAAACCGTGAAGGAATGTTACGTAAGGTTAGTTTTGTTTACAAACATTAATTATAGCGTGAAGTGTTCTTTAGTAATTAGTAATGCCAATCATAGCGTGAAGTTTTCTTTTGAACTGTCAATTAAACCGTGAAGGAATGTTACCTTAGGTTAGTTCTGTTTACAAACATTAATTAATGTTTGTACATACGTTCACAGGCGGTGCTGAAGATATTCCAGACATGTTTCAGACACATTTGTAGCGAAATGTTTCAAATGAAATGTTTCTGCTACATATTTTAATGATATTTCATAAATATTTCTACTGAAATGTATTTGATACATATCTTTAGATACGTTTCGTAAAAATCGTATCTGTCACGTATATGAAACGTAGTTCTAAGATGTTTCATTTAATTCACTGTACGTTAAAATTGAAATGTTTCACAGAGGTTTCTTGTTTACTGGGTTGATTATCAGAGATGCCTTGTTTTTTATCAGTTCTTCTAATATCCTTTCTTTCAGGATAACTTCATATAATTTTCCACATTCATATTCCGTTTTTGCTACTTCCTTTTCCCTTTCATTTCCATTCTGTGAATTAACTCTTGTAAGTATACGTCTGTTTCCATTTGCTTTAACTCTCGCTTCTGCAACCTTATCTGTCCACCAATACAATTGCCTTCTTTTATAACATTTTATTTTTGTTTTGCCATACATTTTATCACAGGCTGCTGTTACTACTGTAATTAACTTGGTAGGAGTAAGAACATCCACTGCTTGTTTTTTTCTTTTAACTTCCTTTTGATATTCATTTACTAATCCTACCTTCCGAAACCACCTCATTTCTTGAACTATTTCTTCTCTCTGCTGTGCGTTCCTAATTTTAACTTCGAATTTAATAGTAGCATGATCACTAAGGTTTCCCTCTTCTAAAATTTCCCAGTTTTCAATCCAATTAACTACATCAACTTTACACATCGTTATATCTATATACGACTCCTGATTTCCTCTTTTCCATGTAAGGTTATTACCCCTATTTGCTATTGCCATATTTTGCTGTACCATCCATTCACACAATATTTTTCCTCTTGCGTCCACTCTTTCCTCTTTTTGAACCCCATCAGGCTGATTTAGCGTTCAAATCTCCCATAATAAAAATCTCTTTTCTCTTGTTCCCATGTACTACCACAGCAATTTTTTTTAATTTTTCCTCATATTCTACTAATGTTTCATTAGGTGTCAAAAAACATCCAATCCATAAACCTATGTTAGTCTTTATCGCTACAAACCCGGGCTCTTCTTCCCATTTATACACTTTTATTTCACTATTAAGTAATTTTATTGCCACATCACATGGTCTTGTTAGTTCTAGTGACAATACTAGTGTAAAACTAGAACTAACACTAGATCTAGAACTAGAATCATTCGGGTTTAGCCACACGTCTCTCAAGACGGCTAAACCCAAATGATTCTAATTCTAGGTCTAGTGTTAGTTCTATATAGTGACAGTACTAGTGCAAAATTAGAACTAACACTAGACCTAGAACTAGAAAGTTTGAGGTTTAGCCGTCTTAAGAGAGACATACTGCTAAACCCGAATGTTTCTAGTTCTACTTTTCTTCGATCAATAAAAATATACAACAATCCAGCGCTGTATAACAATTAAAACTAAAACAACCGTCCTTGATTTATAAATCGTATAGACAACTCGAGGAATACCTCGGGGAGTTTATCTATGAGCATGAAGTCAAGGCTTTACTGTAATTAAATCATTTTTGTAGAATCCTGATAATTCAGTTTATACAAACTCGTTAATTATATCATTTATGACAATAATAGCGTTTTTAATAACTGAAGTAATAATAAATAAACTTGGAAAGAAACCGATTTTAATATTTCTCGGTGGAATAAGTGGAATTTCCGCATTTTGTATCTATTTTTCGATAAATGTCGAAATGATGACAGCTTTATCAGCTATAAATAATGCTTTAGTAACGGTTTGCACCGATATAATTATGACTATTACTGTTGATGTCTTCCCAACAAGCTTAAGGTAATTTTTTGATGGTACCAAAACATTAAATATAACCAAAAATTGATAACCTTATTTTTTATGTTTATAGAACTATTGGATTAGCTTTAATTTTTATGATGGCTCGGACGGGAACTCTGGTAGGAAACATACTTCTTCCAGTTTTGTTACAAATTGGTTGTTTACCGCCGTTTTTAATGTTTGGATGTACAATTTTAGTTTCTTCTTTATTGGCGTTTTTCTTACCAAATACTGATAATAAAGCACTTGAATAAATACTTGCCTATTAATTAATAATAAGAAATTTTGTATGTATCATTTTTTAGTAGCAATTGTTTTGAAACATTTTTTAGAGCAACTATTTCGGACAGAAAACCAGATGCTGTTGGCAGAAGGTTAAATATTACTTGCAAAAGACATTAAAAAGCTGGACACTGTTCTCCAGAGAGTAAGTACAGTAATTAGCTACTACTACCACTACTTGACCAATACTATTTGCAAAAAACTAGATAACTGTTTGCGGAAAACTTGATATTGCTAACAGAAGAGCAGATACAAGTGGGAGAAGACTAAAAACTATGCACAGTAAACAAAATACTATTGACAGACGACCAAATACTACTTTTAAAAGACTAGATACTACCAGTAAAAATCTAGTTTGCATATATATGCAACACTGATGGCAATAATAAGAAGTCAAATTTGGAGAGACACTTCACAACAAAACATACCCAGTTTGCTGGTAAACATCCAACCGGTGACGCACCAAGAAAAGCTGTTAAAGAGCTTCAAAAAGTCAAGTTCCATGCTAAGTAACGGGGCGCAATCTTCCAATAACGTAAATCTGGCAAGCTTTGCAGTATCATTAGAAATTACAAAAAGGGGAAAACCATTCACAGATGGTGACTATGTCAAAGATTGTTTTATACGTGCATCTGAAGAACTGTTTCGTGATTTTAAGAGCAAAGCATAAATCATGAAAAAAATCAAAGATTTGGCATTATCTGCTAAAACAGTACAGGATAGAACTGCTAAAATGTCTTCAAATGTCTTCATAGCTTCTGCCTTATCACTTGCTATAGATGAGTCTTGCCACATAAAAGAAAAATCAACACGACCCAAGGTCCAAAAGAAGAACTGTTAGAATTTCTACCGCTCTCATGGCATACTCGTGGAGAAGATATAGCAAATGCTGTGCAAAAATGCCTGAAAGACAATGGAATCGATATAAATAAAATCGTTTCTATAGTAACTGATGGAGCCAGAAGTATTGTGCTTGCGTGAAATAAGAACATTTCTCAATGAAAAAAGCATTGACCATCCCGAATTGGAAGAAGACTGCAAAAATTCAACTTTATGGCAGATACCACAATTAAACTAAATGCACTAAATCTAATACTGAAAGAAAAGGGCAATGCAACTATTGACACGAATTACTTCAGCATAGCTTTAAAAAACAACAAGGATGGATTCGCTGAGAGATTTGGGTAATTCAAAACGAACAAAAGTACTCTCGCGTTCATAGTAAATCCTCTCAACACAAATACTAATGAGATCAACATTGAGCCATTTGGAATTGATTGTCGATCGCTTCAAATGTAATTGGTAGATTTGAAAACCAAGGACTTGTGGAGTGGAAAGCTCACAGAACTCAAGAGTAAGTTGGACGAGTTGGAAGTCCAGAAAAGCATGCATATCGCGCAACACAAGTGGATAGCTCTAAAATAATTCCGCAAGTTGAAGCCCTCATATTCGGCGTATGGAATAGTCTTCTAGCTATAGTGAGGTGAAGAAGTTGGCATATGGAGTGTTGACGATTCTTCGGGCTAAACCCGAATGTTTCTAATTATAGGTCTAGTATTAGTTCTAGCTTTACACTAGCACTATCACTAAAACTAACACAAGATCTAGAACTAGAATCATTCGGGTTTAGCCGTCTTGAGAGACGTGTGGCTAAATCCGAATGTATCTAGTTCTATGGTCGACATATTCGTGCGAGTAAGCGTTCTCTTGCATGAATATAATAAAAAGTAAAGTTAGAAGTCAACTAACAAATAAAAATCTAGAATCGTGCTTGAAACTTGAAACAACAAGTTATAGTCAGATTTAATCAAACGTTCAAAAAGCATGCAAAGCCAATGCTCTCATTAATGTAACTATCTGTATTTGTGTTTTTATGTCAATAAATATTATTTCGTATTTAAAGCAAAATGTAGTGGCAAAATTTAATTTGTAAATTGTAACTTTTGGCTCTTCCGTTTCAATAGGTTGCCGACGTCTGTCTTGGGTAGATGCCCTGGGTTGATTTTATATCCCATTTTTCTTACAACAACATATCTCATCTTATCTAAGGATGGAGATGTAATGGGATCAAAAAATTTATTTCTTCAAACACTTTATTATATTTATAATCTAAAATTCTTATTTTACACTTCAGCATTTAAAGCCACCCTCTCGGTGCAAGTCCTTGTCCAGGTCTTATTTAGCAGCAAAATGATAATTTAAAAATAAACTTAAAAAGATTAAAACAAAAAATCTTACCTGGGTGATTTAGAAGTTTTTTCAATTTGTTTCAGCGAATCATACCTACTTAAAGTTTGTTTCTGCTTCGGTTTTAACCGTCTCTTTGCAAACATATTTGTCATCCTAAACATTAAGATTACCATAATAACAGAAATTTACTATTAATTTAAAACAATTACGTTTTCTTTGGAATTTGTTTTTTAACATCTTCACTCGTTGAAGTAGAAGATACCGTCGAAGTTGTTATACTATCATGTTGTAATTTTGGCAGAGATGGAGGTCTAAAATTAAAAAGAATTGTTTACTAATTTTGAAGTGGAAGGAACGAATGGTTGGATAGGGAATGCAGAGAGGCCAAGAGAGAAGCTAGAAGGAAATTGAGACAGTGGCAGAGAGGGGAGGTAGAGATAGATAGATATATAGAGGTCAGGAGAAAATACAAAGAATGCAAGAAAAAGAAGAGGGAGCTGACGGAAAGGGAGGCTGAAAAGATTAAGGAGTTGAAAGAGGAAAATGAAGTATGGAGATACTTAAAGAGGACGAGGAAGGCAAGAGAGGAAGTCAGCAGAGATATACAAATGGAGGATGGGGATAATATGCCCACTGTATAAAAAGGGGAGTAAAAGGGTGATGAGAAATTATAGAGGGATCACCCTGTTGGACACAACTTTCATAATTTATGCAAAATTACTGCTGGGGAGGTTGGAAAAGGAAATGGAGAGGTGGGAATTTTTGCCGGATGGGCAGGCATGATTCAGGAAAGGAAGAGGGGCAATTGACAATATATACATTCTGAAACACCTGGTAGATAGGGAGTTTAACAAGAAGGGATGACAGTTGTATGGACAGTTTATTGACCTGAAGGCTGCATTCGATAACATGGATAGAGAGAAGTTGTGGGAGGAAATGAGGAGGAGAGATATCACAGAACAACTGATAGGGAGGGTGAAGGAGATGTACAGGGAGACGATGGCCAAGGTTAAAGTGGGGGAAGAATTAAGTGAAGTATTCTAGACGACAAAGAGATTGAGACAGGGGTGCCTGTTTAGTCCCATACTATTTGCAATATATACGGCGGACATGGAAAGGGGTGAAGGGGAAATGTGTGGGGTTGGGTTGGGTTGGGTTGGGTTGAGTGCTAGGAGGAACAAAAGTGCACGCTTTGGTATATGCGGACGATTTGGTGGTCGTGGCTAGAGAGGCGGTGGAGATGAAGGAGATGATGAGATTCCTGGAAAGATATTTTAAGGCGAAGGGAAAACAAAGATAATGAAGTTCTACAAAGGGGGGAGAAGGAGGAATGGAGGTGGCAGGGAAGAGTAATAGAGCAAGTGAAAGAGTACACGTACCTGAGATATGGGTTCGCGGAAAGTAATAAGGTGGGGCGCACGTAAGGGCGATGGCAAAAAGAGCGAGCAGGGTGATGGGACAGATTTGGAGATGGGGGGAAAGAACTTTTGGGGGGACGTGGGAAAAAGAATGTTTGATGGCTTGGTAAGGAGCACAATGATGTACGGCGCAGAAGTATGGGGATGGAGAGAACAAGGTTTGCTGGAGGATATACAAACACGGTATTGGAGATGGGTACTAGGGTTGGCAAGGGAGACTCCGGGGTATGTAGTGAGGGAGGAGGTTAAGGTGGATGCAGTGAGGGTTGAGGCTGGGAGAAGAGCAGTATGAGGAAATGATAGAAGCAAGACCGCATTACAGGATCCTAGGAAAGTGCTGGAGGGAAATTAAGGAGAGAAGACTGATGTATGGGCAAAGAGACAGGAAAGAATATTATAGAAGAGTGGGATACTCACTAACTGGGATCGAAAACAGAAGAGCGGAAAGAGGTAAAATGTGGAGAGAACTGAGAGATAGGGACAGGGACATACAGAGGCAGGAAAGAAGGTCACAGATACGAGAAGGGAGATACAATGAAAGGTATGGGGAGATTGTGACAGAGGAACTGCCAAAGTATTTGTTAATGGAGGGGGATGATGAAGGGAAGAGATTGGTGGCCAGATTCCGCTGTGGCAATGAGGAGAGGGGGAATAGGTACTGGGCGAACGATGTGGAGAGGTGGTGTAGGCTGTGTGGAGAGGATTGAGAGACGCTGGAACAAATGCTGAGAGGGTGTAGTGAGCTAAGGGAGGAGGCAATGGACAGGAAGCAGATTTTGGGAGAGGGGGGCGAGGGCAAAAGATGAATGAGCGAGGTGATGGAGGCGAGGAGGCGAAGGTGTGGGTTGGGTTGGTTTGGGTTGATGAAGACGAGGAGGCGAAGGTGTGGGAAGGGCTCGCCCCCTAGAGGATATGTATATATATATATATATATATATATTTCGGATGTCTCTGAAATGCGTGTACAACGGAAGTCTACAGATTCCTTGGCTCAAAATAGGTCGATTTATGTTAAGTTATCTATATCCAAAGTTACTTCGTTTCGCCGCTAGAGGACTTCAAAGTTAGCAAAAAAATTTTTTTTATTTTTTATAACTCGAAAACGTGTAAATCAATTGTAACCATTTTTCAGAAGTGAGTTCCTAGGTTCAATTATCGTCTTTTTATGGTTTTTGATACAATTTTAGGAACACAGGAATGATGGAAAAGTCATGTGTTCACCGGATATTATATAAAGACAAACTTTTAATCATTTCTAAGAAACAAAAGGTAACAATAAACTCAACAAATACAAACACTACAAGTAGGAAATATTTACAAAAATTGTTCAAAATGGACACCGTTTTTCAAAATACATAAATTTACTCGTTGTAAAAAGATAAATTGCACTCTGTCCATTGTTTCGCGATTATTTAATGTATTAAATGTTAAGAAAATGTTTCTTCGTAATTCCTCTTCACTACCAATTGTAGAGGCATAAACTTTTGACTTCAATGCCCCCCAGATAAAGTAATCATATGGTGTAAGGTCTGGTGATCTTGCTGGCCATTTTATTGGGGCATCAGCTCCCCTTCGACCATGATATCATCGACCAGGATATTGTTGGTTTAAATATTGCCGAACAGCCATCGTAAAATGTGGCGGAGCACCATCGTGCATGAACCACATATCGCGACGAAGTAATAAAGGTAAATTTTCTAATAAATCCGGTAACGACTGTCTTAATAAATTTAAATAAACTTCGCCATTTAACCGATTTGGTATTATTACCGGTCCAATGATGTTATTGTCAATAATTCCAACCCAAACATTGACTTTAAATTGATGCTGATGATGGACTGCTTTGGTCATATGCGGATTTTCTTCAGCATAAACATGATCGTTACGCATGTTAGTGATACCAGATCTGGTAAACGTTGCTTCATCTGTCAATAAAATCCTTCTACTAAAATGGGTCATGGATTCTTTCGTTTTGGATGAGTTGGCAGAAAGTCAAACGCACTTGTCGTGATCCACAAGTAAAAGCTCTTGTACTTTTTGAAGGTGATATGGACAACGTCTTTAGAGACTTCTAGTTGATTTCCTAAGCGTATCGTACTAATTTTAGGGACTTGTGCCACGATTTATTGATGTTAACTGACAGTTAAATGCAAAGCATACTAGAGTTATGTTTTATCATAGCAATAACATATGCATTATCCTTTTGTTTCTTAGAATTGATTACAAGTTTCTCTTTATCGTACTGAATCAACTAAATACGACTACGTTTTTTCCTAACACTGTATGCTTTTAGCATCAATGAATTCCAACGCTTTTGATTAATTAATGATATTGTATTCACGTTAAACATAAATTGTAATTAGTTGAAATTAGTGCCAACTACGGTGACGTAACTTTTTTAACTGCAATGACGTAAGCAAGGCTTGCAGATATTTAAAAATACCTTTTTTCTGGCTAAACCACTTATGTAATCTAAATCTTATAAGAGACAAAAACGGTTTAGAACTAAATGGCTACTCAGAAATTATAATAATGTAATTGTCTCCTGGCCAGAAAAAAAAATATGGAGTAATATCCGGTGAACACATGACTTTTCATCATTCCTGTGTGTCTAAAATTGTATCAAAAACCATAAAAAGACGTTAATTGAACCTAGGAACTCACTTCTGAAAAATGGTTTAATTAATTTTAATTGTAAAGGGAAAATTGTAAATATAAAGAATCAATAAAACGCTTATTATTACTAATTTTGAAGTAATTTTGAGTTACCTTGGAGGACTTGGAGGAATCGGTATAATCGAGGCTGAACTTCTATCCTCGATGTATCGTTGATCAGATGAGCTGGATTCGGGAGTAACCCAGACTGTATCTTCTGGGTTACTTGAAGTTGAGTATCTTCTATAAGTACTAAAAACAATATTTTTAAAGGTTTACGCTTTAATTTTTTAAAATTTACCTTCTTTGAAGATACTCAGCTTCAATAATCTTATTATATTTCTTAATTAGATGAATAATCGCAGGAGTAATAACAATAAATAAAATCGTAATGAAGAAAAATGAACATGATAAAGCATTCTAAAAAATAAATTCAACTTAAAATAATTGATTTATCTAATTTTTTAAAAACAAACCAAAGAATCGATTAAATTCGAGCAAGTTTGAATCCTTACAAAATCAAAAATATCCCAAAATGGGCGACATCGAGCCGTTTTCCTCCGTACTTGTTCGTTCGAAAATCTGTGTAATTCATTTAGATACTTTTCAAATCGAAATTTATATTTTTTCACATTTTTCTCGATAATCTCGACACCTTTCTCATTTAAAACATCCTCGATTCTATCTAAAGCACTCAAAAATATTTTCGATTTCTCTCGAAGTGGCTCGTAAAGAATTTCAATCGATGTTAATTTATACAAAACATTATCTCGGAAATTATTTACAACTTGGTATTCTTTTTGGATAATTTCTTCGAGTTTTAAGAGAATCGCTTCGAAATTATTCGCCGTTTTTGTATTTTCGATTTGTTTAACGACCGAAAAAATTTGTTGTTTAAACGTGAATAATTCCCGATGAGTAACCGGAAGCGAAACTTTACTTCTTAATCGTTTTAGATTTTCAAATTGATTAAATTCTTTCAAGATTGTTTCTAAATCGTTCGATTTGAACTTAATTTTGTTTGTGTCGAAGGTTAAAGTTTCCAAAACCGATTTGAAATCACCCCACGTTTTGAAATTAAAAATTTTGGTTAAATCGAGACGATTTTCTAAATGAAACGTGGTGTAGGATGATTGATTTTTTTCGCAACCCCTAGAAATAATTTAGATTAATTTATTATACATATAAATAAAGGAAAAATTCAAGAACCATTATGTGGCTTAAAACACATAATACAATTTTTTGTTAATTTGAAATTTTAATTTCCCACTGAATAGTATGCTACAAAAATTAATATTTTTGAGGTTATATCCTTATTGTTGATTTAATCAAAAAATTTTGTTAACAAAATTTGTTTAGAATTACTTCAGGAACAGTGTTTGTTAATACAATTTTTTGTTAATCGATGTGAAATGACCCAAAAAATAAGTTAAAAACAAAAAGAAAGTTCGGAAAAGTGTAGCACATACCGAAAAATCACATTAAAGCTTCGATGTGATGTCACGTTTTGTGACTAGACCGAAAACTAGAAACTAGTGTTAGTTCTACTTTTCGTTCAATAAAAATATACCACAATCTAACACTAAATAATATTTAAAACTAGAACTAACACTAGACCTAGAACTAGAAACATTCGGGTTTAGCCGCACGTCTCTAAAGACGGCTAAACCCGAATGATTCTAGTTCTAGGTCTTGTGTTAGTTCTAGTGATAGTGTTAGTGTAAAACTAGAACTAACACTAGACCTAGAACTAGAAAGGATCGGGTTTAGCCGTGCGGCGAATGTTTCTAGTTCTAGCTCTAGTATTAGTTCTAGTTTTAATGCTATAAAAATATACAACATAGTGATATCTTATGCTAAATAGCGCTACTTACCATTGTCACTAGAACTAACATTAGACCTAGAGCTATTTAGAAACATTCGGATTTAGTCGCACGTCTCTAAAGACGGCTAAACCCGAATGTTTTTAGTTCTAGGTCTAGTGTAAGTTCTAGTTTTGCACATAGTGTTGCATATTATTAATGAATTAAAACTAGAACTAACACTAGACCAACAACTAGAATCATTCGGATTTAGCCGCACGTCTCTTAAGACGGCTAAACCCGAATGATTCTAGTTCTAGGTCTTGTGTTAGATCTAGTGACAGTGCAAGTGTAAAACTGGAACTAACACTAGACCTAGAATCATTCGGGTTTAGCCGTTTTGAGAGACGTGCGGCTAAATCCGAATGTTTCTAGATCTAGGTCTAGTAAAAGGGATGAAATTCTCTGTTTTTTTAGAAATATTTTGTATTTTAAGAAAGAAAACCAAAACTCATTCTCATTTCCAACATATTTTAAAATTTTTCCATCATTTTGTAATTATTTCAAGTACTGAAGATGAAACATTTGTTTCGAAACATGTTTACTTTTTGAAATAAATTAAGTATTTTAAATATTTCTCACTAAAAGTATTTACTTTTTCCTATTTTTATTATCTAGGTCTAGTGTTAGTTTCAGTTTTAATTGTTATTCACAAGAACTAACAGTAGACCTAGAACTAGAAACATTCGGGTTTAGCCGCACGTCTCTAAAGACGGCGAAACATGTCGCACCGAATTTAAAATAAAATAAACCATTTTCATCGTTAACCCAGAGTTTTATTAATATTCATATTGAACGATGAACATAGAATCCACCATCGCCAAACGAATGATTCTAGTTCTAGGTCTAGTGTTAGTTCTAGTTTTAAATGTTATTTAGTGTTAGATTATGGTATATTTTTATTGAACGAAAAGAAAAACTAACACTAGATCTAAAACCAGAAACATTCGGGTTTAGCTGTACGTCTCTTAAGATGGCTAATAACACCTAACCTATAAATTGTTTATTTTATAGCCACGCAGAAAATCAATCTGATAAACTTAAAAGTAAATTTATTTTCACTAAACTATAAAAGATTTCGGATAAGGGTATTTTCGGATGAAATATACCCATGGTTTCGTTAGGCTTTTGATGCATAACGACAGTTAGTCAGTCGTTATGGTAGTAACTGATTATCTGTCGTTAGATAAACTGTATATCAATAGACTGTGTGTCAATTGATACAAAAAGCCACAACGACTGAAATGTCTTTATTTACCATCTACCTACTCGCGTTGATCTGAATGTTAACGTAACAAACTTACCTTCTGTTTCATGTCCAACTCGACATTTGGAAAATTCGCATTAGTTTAAATTAACCTAACTCAAAGTAGAGTTTCTACACAAAATTCTGAAATAAATCAGTAAATTAGGTGGATCCGCACGTAACGTTTAAAGAGGCGGCCGTACCCCCGTCTAAAAAGATATGTTGCATCTGAGTGACAAAGAATCGAATATTGTAGAAGCAATTTTTAAATCTGTAATGGTGGGACACAGAAAAATATCCCTCAACAGAAGAATAGTTACAGTAAATAGTCTTCAGCCAGTAGTATTGTAATCTTCAAGCACTTAGTGGTGTTTTGGCAGCAGTATACAGGGTGCCCATTATGTATGGAATATAGCATATATCTTGATAAGTATCAACTTTATAAAAAAACATTTTATACAAAAGTTGTTTAATATTTTATTTGGCATAATAAGACTGCATCCAATTGTTTTCAATTCAGAAAACAAATGAGTAACGAATAATACTTACATTTTTTTAAATGGCAATGTATTCTTTCGTTAGGCTCATTTGATAGAGATTACTTTTCTCTTTACGATGGCGTAAAATTTTTATGCCCTTCCATTAGAAAATTTTTGAAAAAAATGTAAAAATTGTTTATTACTGTAAATTAAATGTACGTACAAAATAAAACAAACGAAAAATTAGTGTACATCTCCAATAATTCGAGGTACTTGACGATCTCGGATATCTAGATTACTCTTATTAATTAAATTTTCTTAATTAGCAGTTTTTACATTTTTCAAAAATTTTCTGATATACGGGTACTAAAATTTTACATCATCGTAAAGAGAAAAGAAATCTCTATCAAATGAGCCTAACGAAAGGGTACATTGCCATTTAAAAAAGTTCAAGTGTTATTCGTTGCTCATTTGTTTTATAAAATAAAAACAATTGCTGTCTTATTATGGCAAATAAAATATTAAACAACTTTTGTATAAAATGTTTTTTTATAAAGTTGATACCTATCAAGATATATACTATATTCCATACATAATGGGCACCCTGTATAGTATTCTGAAAGCATTAAATAGTCTTTGCTAACAATATCTAGCTTTCTCCAACCAATTAGTAGTCTGTCCAATAATATTTAGCATTATGAAAATAGTTAATAGTCTTTTGGAAACAGTATCTTGTCTTTCCAACCAGATAATAGTTTCTCCTAGCAATATTTAGTCTTTTCCAAGGAGGTCTTAATTTTTTTCTAATAGTATATAGCGTTCTGAAAGCAGTAAGTAGTTTTATGGAAGCAGTATCTCGTCTATCCAATCAGTTTGTAGTTGTTAGCAATATTTAGTATTCCCCAAGCAGATTGTAATTTTTTCCACCAGTATCTAGCATTTTGGAAGCAGTAGGTACCATTTTTGGAGAGCATATCTTTTCTTTCCAAGTAGTTATTAGTCTTTTCCAGCAGTATTTAGCATTCTGGCAGAATTAGGTAGCTTTTTGGGAAGCATATCTCTTCTTTCCAAGCAGTTATTAGTCTTTTCCAGCAGTATCTAACATTCTGGAAGCAGTAGGTAGCTTTTTGGTAAGCATATCTCTTTTCCAAACAATTAGTAAAGTCTTTGAAAGTAATAAGTGGTCTTGGAAGCAGTACTACGCCTGTCCAAGTAGGTCAAAACCTTTAACAGCAGTGTTTAGAGTACTGGAAGCAATAGGTATTATTTTGAAAACAGTATTTAGTCTTTTCAAAGTAAGTTGTGGTCTTTTTCTGAAATATCTAGCATTTTAGAAGTAGTAGGTAACTTTTTGAAATAGTATTTCTTCTTTCCATTCAGTTTTTAGTCTTTTACTAGCAGTATTTAATCTTCTGATACCAATAATTAGTCTTTTGCCAACAGTGTCTAGCATTTAGGTATAGATTTTAGGTTACCTTTAGTTTATATTTTAGTCGTTGTGCGTCGAAAACCTAAGAAACAACCGTATTTCACTCAAAAATATGCGTTTTAACCAAATGTGCTGCGAAAATACACTGCATTAATTAATTACCGTACCCGACATAATCATTGCACGGTACGATAATTAATTAACGCACTGTATATGGTTAGCACGGTCAATGACGTCACAAAAAGTGACGTCACGTCGTAACTTTAAAATGATTTTTCGGTAACTTATACACTTTTTCGCCCTTTTTTTATTATTAAAAAAAATTGTCGATTTTTAAGCGACATGATAATTCTTGAATTGTACTCCTACTTTAAATAAATTGGGAATTTACTTTAAAATGTTTTCAATTTTTAAGGTTTCATTTGAGTTAAGGATCTCTTTGAAAAAACCTTGGTCGTAAATCAAACCGTTTTCATCAAAAATCTTCGTTAAAACGTCGTAATGATCATCGTAGAAGCTGTTGCAAATAAAATTTTGGCCGTGGCCACCAATTAAAAATGTTATTGAACCAAAAAACCATAAAATTAATATGGTAAAACTTAACAGGGTGATTCCGAATGATAAAATAGGCCCGGTTTTCGTTAAAACTGAGCATTCGCATGGTGATCCGCATAAAAAAGCAGTCCAAATTATCACGATTAAAAAGGATATACCTAGAAATAAATATTTTTTATTTAAAAGCGATAAATAGTTAAAAATTACCTAAAATTGAAATATTCCTCCACAATTCCTTTTCAACCACCACATCGAGCCAATCAATTAATTTTTTCGATTTTTCTTTTAGATTATTAATTAAAAACGTTGATAATTCCTCCAAAGACCTTAAAGAACCGTAAACAATCCTCCGATGTTTTTGTAAGCAATCATAAGCAGCTAAAATTCGAAAAATTTAAATAAATATTAACAATAAAAGAAAAAGTATTTACCCGCCCTCTCTGAGCCAGTTTCGACAACAACGGTTTTTAAAACGTCGTCATAAGTTTTCACCGTTGCCTCAATGGTGGCGTTGAAATCGCTGTTGTGACGCATCCTTTCAAAGTAACTCAACATCGGGTCCGCTATAATCTTTAACAGGGTGTAAAGAGATAATGAATCTTTTTTATGGATTTCTTTTTGTGATAATAATGGGGCTGCATGGTTTTTCCGGGGGCGATAAATCAAAAATTTGGAACGTCAGCCAAAAAAGAATTTCGCCACCCGCAAATTTATCTTAATTTAGATCTAATTAGAAATGATGATCAAAAAATAAAGGTGAGACGGAGAAGAAAAACGAGTTTTCTTTAAATTTATAAAAATACGTCTAAAACGGTTTTAGTAACAAACCTCTTCCACGTTTAAAGTTAAACTAAGTCCCGTGGGGTGAATTGTTTCACACAAGGATCTGTCTTTTTGGTGGCAAAACTTTCTGGCGGAATTTATCTGCGCGGAAAGTTCGTCCAGCGCTTCCTGTAAAGCTTTCGTCGACTTCCTCGCTAAGGAACACTCCCACGCCAATTCCGAAACTCTTACGGAAATACCTGCGCTTCCTGTCCTCCAAGAAAAAATAAATAAAAATAAAACGAGACCAAAAAAAAAACAGTTAAGTTAAACGTTAATTCACTCTCGAAACTTTCTTTGTAGCACTAAAGTAAAAAAATAAGTACTTAACTCGTTTTTAAATCCACCAAACCCTCGATTGTACTTTTTAAATTTGTTTCTACTTCGAGATCGTTTAAAAAATCTTCTCCCAATAATTTATCAACATCTAAAAAGAACAAAATTATTTTTGAGGTTATGTTGTTATTAAAACTGTCAAATTTGACAAATTTAAATTTTCAATAAATTAATTTAAGGAAAACGATTTAAATTAATCCGTTTTGATATTAAAAAGGATTACTGAGGAAAATTCATTATAATTACGTACGTTGAAGAAACGTTAAATCAAAATAATAATTTCTACCAACATAATTATTTTTTTTAGAAGTAATTAATATGTACCAACCTAATTAATTTTTTTTTTAGATATTTATAATTTCTTTTTGATTAATTTTTTTATTTTGATTTATTTCAATCGAAATTTATTTATAATCCAATTTAATTCGTTTCTTTATTATTAATTTACAGTGAATTTCACTTAAGATGCAACATACAAAAATATATTTCCATAGAAATCAGGACGTACCCAAGGTCCGTTGAGTAAACATACTGTATAAGGTTATCCAACTCCCAAACACTGTTGTTATAAACAATACACAAAAATATAAAGATATTAATAAAATAATAGATTAATAAAAATTACGTTAGAATTGATAAAAAAATCGAAATTAAATTTTATTATTTTAAGGTTATCCAACTTGACTCGGTTACCATGGTGATTAAGATCCAAATATTGCAGTTGCTTGTCAAAATTGACGTTGAATTTAAGTTTTTTTGATGAAAAACACATAATTAATTGGATTTAAAGGATTCAAAATGGGTAAATGGATGAAATTATAAGCAAGGTAAGTTAAATCAAAAAAAAATATTTTTAGATCAATTAAAATGCAGAAGAATTTGGGGTTAAATAACAATTAAAACTAGAACTAACACCAGATCTAGAAAAGTCTGAAGTCGCACGGTTAAACCAGAATATTTCTAGTTCTAGGTCTAGTGTTAGTTCTAGTGATAGTGCCAATGTAAAACTAGAACTAACACAAGACCTAGAACTAGAAACAGTCGGGTTTTGTCAACTTTAATTTTATTATTATATTCGTAATCTTCATAAAAAATCCTTTAAAATGAGTCCAAACTCGACATATTTAACTTTAATATTAATAGAAATACAATCACTGTCAATGTCAATTTTGACATATTTGTCATCTTCATTAAAAACCCTTTAAAATGAGTCCAAACATGATGCACTTATCTCAAAAAACAAAAAATGTTTGAATAAAAAAAAGTTAAACCCGAGTTAGCAACAATGAAGATAGCAATTTAATAATTAAATATTAACACCAACCTTAATTTTAAATTTTTTTTATTATACTTTTGTTTTTGTAATAAATTTTAAGACATTTTATAAAAATTAAGAATTTGTCAAAATGACATTGACATTTCAAACCGGAAGTTGCTTATATCTCGACTAATATTGGAATTAAACGTATCATGTTTGGGCTCATTTTAAAGAATTTTTCACGACAATTACAAATATGTCAAAGTTGACGTTGACATTTCTAAACGGAAGTTGACCATAACTTCATTAATATTGAAGATAAATATGTCGTGTTTGTACTCATTTTATAGGATTTTTAATGAAGATTACAAATATGTCAAAATTGAGGTTGACATTTTAAATCTGAAGTTAGTTATGATATAATAGAAGTTTTATAACTGAAGTTAATATAGTGTTAGTTATTTTTCAGCACTTTTTATTTTTAACGTGTTTTTTGGGTCATTTCACATTGATTAAAGGTTTGATTAAGTTGATACTTACCAAGATATATACTATATTCCATACATAATGGGCATCTGTATATTATATTAAACTTTTCCTACATCACGTTTCCTACCTCACCCCGTCAACATCAACTTGTTCGAGTTGGATAACTTCATACCCAATACTCAACGGACCTTGGGCGTACCTAGTTACTGAGTTCAACATAAAATGCAAGATGTCACTATAAATGTTAGAATATACAGTAAAACCTCGATATAACGGATTAATACGGGAGAGACAGTGTCCGTCATAGCTCAATAAAAAGTATACAATAACCTAGTGCTGAACAATAAAAAACACTAGACTAACACTAGCATTAAAGCTAACACTAGACCTAGAAACATTCTCTTTAGCCTTACTTCTCTTAAGGCGGCTGGTAAGTAGGGCTAGTTAGTATAAAATATGACTATGTTGCCTATTTTTATTGCACTAAAACTAGAACTAACACTATACCTAGAACTAGACTCATTCGGATTTAGCCGTCTTTAGAGATGTGCGGCTAAACCCAAATGATTCTAGTTCTAGGTATAGTGTTAGTTCTAGTTTTACAGTAGCACTGTTAGTATGTAGAATTAACACTAGACCAAGAACTAGAATCATTTGGATTTAGCCGTCTTGAGAGACGTGCGGCTAAACCCAAATGATTCTAGTTTTAGGTATAGTGTTAGTTCTACATAGTAACCATGCTAGTATTACTAGTGTAAAACTAGAACTAACAATAGACCTAGAACTAGAATAATTCGGGTTTAGCCGTCTTTAGAGACGTGCGGCTAAACCCAAATGATTCTAGTTCTAGGTATAGTGTTAGTTCTAGNTATTGGAATTAAATGTATCATGTTTGGGCTCATTTTAAAGAATTTTTCACGACAATTACAAATATGTCAAAGTTGACGTTGACATTTCTAAACGGAAGTTGATCATAACTTCATTAATATTGAAGATAAATATGTCGTGTTTGTACTCATTTTAAAGGATTTTTAATGAAGATTACAAATATGTCAAAATTGAGGTTGACATTTTAAATCTGAAGTTAGTTATCATATAATAGAAGTTTTATAACTGAAGTTAATATAGTGTTAGTCATTTTTCAGCACTTTTTATTTTTAACGTGTTTTTTGGGTCATTTCACATTGATTAAAGGTTTGATTAAGTTGATACTTACCACGATATATACTATATTCCATACATAATGGGCATCTGTATGTTATATTAAACTTTTCCTACATCACGTTTCCTACCTCACCCCGTCAACATCAATTTGTTCGAGTTGGATAACTTTATAACCAATACTTAACGGACCTTGGGCGTACCAACCTACCGTGTCCAACATAAAATGCAAGATGTCAATATAAATGTTAGAATATACAGTAAAACCTCGATATAACGGATTAATACGGGAGAGACAATGTCCGTCATAGCTCAATAAAAATATACAATAACCTAGTGCTGAATAATAAAAAACACTAGTATTAAAGCTAACACTAGACCTAGAAACATTCTCTTTAGCCGTACTTCTCTTAAGGCGGCTGGTAAGTAAGGCTAGTTAGCATAAAATATCACTATGTTGCCTATTTTTATTGCACTAAAACTAGAACTAACACTATACCTAGAAGTAGAATCATTCGGATTTAGCCGTCTTTAGAGATGTGCGGCTAAACCCAAATGATTCTAGTTCTAGGTATAGTGTTAGTTCTACTTTTACAGTAGCACTGTTAGTATATAGAAAATTATTAACACTAGACAATTGTTAACACTAGACCAAGAACTAGAATCATTCGGGTTTAGCCGTCTTGAGAGACGTGTGGCTAAACCCAAATGATTCTAGTTTTAGGTATAGTGTTAGTTCTACATAGTAACCATGCTAGTATTACTAGTGTAAAACTACAACTAACACTAGACCTAGAACTAGAATAATTCGGGTTTAGCCGTCTTTAGAGACGTGCGGCTAAACCCAAATGATTCTAGTTCTAGGTATAGTGTTAGTTCTA